ATTTCATTCTTTTTTATGGCTGTATAGTATTCCATGACAAATATGTACCACATTTTCTTTATCCACTGTTGGTGGGCACCTAGATTAATTCCGTGTCTTTGCTATTGTGAATAGTGTTGTAATAAACACAAAAGTGTGAGTGTATTTTTGGTAGAATGATTTCTTTCTCTCCTTTCTCTCTCTCCTCTCTCTCTCTCTCTCTCTCTCTCTCTCTCTCTCGACATGGTCTCGCTCTGCCACTCAGGCTAGAGTACAGTGGCTTGATGCAGCCTCAGCTCACTGCAGCCTCAAACTCCTGGGTTCAATCGATCCTCCTGCCTCAGCTCCTGAGTAGCTGGGACTACAGGCGCATGCCACCATTCCTTTTTTATTTTTTGAGACATGGCTTTGCCATGTTGACCAGGCGGGTACAATGATATCTTTTCTGAATGTGCCATCCTTGGGCTGCCTCCCAGCCTTGGCACACCTCTCTGCCTGGGATACTCCTGCCCCCATGCTTGACCTGGCTAACTCCTCCTTATCCCTCAGGTCTCAGCTGAGACAACACCTCCTCTAGGAGGTGAGGTGTTCATCTTGGTTCCCTCCTGCCTCATAGACTCGAGTTCCGATGGCTTTCTGGCCATCCCCTGTCCCCATGTCAGTTTCTCTGGATGGGGATTGTCTGTGTATTTGTTTATCTTCCCTATGAGGCTGTGAAGTCACAGCCCATCGACCTTGGTCCTGGTTATATCCCTACAGTTTTTTTTTTTTGTTTTGTTTTGTTTTTACTTTTTTTGAGACAGAGTCTCGCTCTGTTGCCAGGCTAGAGCACAGTGGCTTGATCTTGGCTCACTGCAGCCTCCACCTCCCAGGTTCAAGCGATTCCCCTGCCCCGAGTTCCCTAGTAGTTGGAACTACAGGCACATGCCACCACGCCTGGCTTTCTTGTATTTTTGTAGAGACAGGGTTTCACTATGTTGGCCAGGCTGGTCTCCATCTCCTGATCTCGTGATCCATCCGCCTTGGCTTCCTAAAGTGCTGGGATTACAGGCACAAGCCACCACACCCAGCCTATCCCTACAATCTATAGTCGATGTCAACATTTACTGAATAACTGGGTGACTGATGCAAAAGCGTCCCGCCTCCAGACAAACCAAGGCTCAGCACTGTCTGTCATTTTCCTCTGCAACTGACTTGAGCTCCAGCCTCACTATCACCTACCTTCAACAAGTCTTTCTGGAGGCAAGCAGGGCTGGGTTTGAGCAAGCACCATGAGAAGACAGCATAGGAGACAGGACTCGGCAGGTTCCTGGACCAGATTGCCCTCCTCCCCCCACTGCAGGCCCCCTGTACCCAGGCCATGAACAACCTTGCTAAACTCACCAGCTCCCTTCGTCCTGCCTCCTTTCTTATCCTGGAAAGCCACAAAGGAAACCTAATGGTTGCCTTTACTTTAGAAATATTGGCCGGGCGCGGTGGCTCAAGCCTGTAATCCCAGCACTTTGGGAGGCCGAGGCGGGTGGATCACGAGGTCAAGAGATCGAGACCATCCTGGTCAACATGGTGAAACCCCGTCTCTACTAAAAATACAAAAAAATTACCTGGGCATGGTGGCGCGTGCCCGTAATCCCAGCTGCTCAGGAGGCTGAGGCAGGAGAATTGCCTGAACCCAGGAGGCGGAGGTTGCAGTGAGCCGAGATCACGCCATTGCACTCCAGCCTGGGTAACAAGAGCGAAACTCCGTTTCAAAAAAAACAACAACAACAACAAAAAAAGAAATATTGGCCTGGTGCCGTGGCTGACGCCTGTAATTCCAGCACTTTGGGAGGTCAAGGCAGGCAGATCACTTGAGGTCAGGAGTTCGAGACCAGCCTGGCCAACGTGGTGAAACCCCATTTCCGCTAAAAATACAAAAATTAGCCAGGCGTGGTGGTGCACACCTGTAATCCCAGCTACTCAGGAGGCTGAGGCTTGAACCTGGGAGGTGGAGGTTGCAGTGAGTCAAGATCGTGCCACTGCACTCCAGCCTGGGCAACAGAGCAAGACTCCGTCTCAAAAAAAAAAAAAAAAAAAAAAACTGTATTATTTTGCTGGGCACTGTGGCTCACACCTGTAATCCCAGCACTTTGGGAGGCCAAGGTAGGAGGATGGAGTTTGAAACCAGCCTGGGCACCATAGTGAGACCTATCTCTATAAAATAAATAAACAAAAACAGATTAGCCAGGAATGGTGGTGCATACCTATAGTCCCAGCTACTCAGGAGGCTGAAGTGAGAGGATCGCCTGAGCCCAAGAGTTCAAGGCTGTAGTGAGCTATCATCTTGCCACTGCACTCAGGCTGGGCAACAGAGTGAGACCCTGTCTCAAGAAAAAAAAAGAAAAGACAAAAATATTTTAATGTATTCTTTGGAACAGGTAACCTATGTATGTGGCATGAAATTCAAAAGATACAAAAGGATGTACTTGAAAAGTAGGTCTTTCCTCTTCCTGACCTGTCTCCCCACAGGTAACCATAGTTAATAGTTTCTTTTGCGTATTTATTCTTATTTATATATTTTTAAATGTTTTCACTCTCTGAGCTTGTCAAGAGACACAGTTACCATTTTCTTGTGCAGCTTCTAGAAACAATGTATGAACAACTAAACAAACATGGCTAATCTCTTTCCCTCTCAAACAGCAGTATTCCAAGCACTATTCTCTGCACTGGCTTTTCTTCACCACCCCCCACCTCCCTGCCCCCCTCCACCCCGAGGTGGAGTCTTGCTCTGTTGCCCAAGCTGGAGTATAGTGGCACAATCTTGGCTCACTGTAACCTCTGCCTCTCAGGTTCAAGAGATTCTCCTGCCTCAGCCTCCTGAGTAGCTGGGATTACAGGTGCGTGCCACCATGCCCACCTAATTTTTTAAATTTTAGTAGAGACGGGATTTCAGCATGTTGGCCAGGCTGGTTTTGAACTCCTGACCTTGTGATCCACCCACCTCAGCCTACCAGAGTGCTGGGATTACAGGTGTAAGCCACCACGTCTGGCCTGCATTTTGCTTTTCTAAGTTAAAATGAAACTGTGAAGATGATTCTAGGGCCAGCCATGGTGGCTCATGCCAGTAATCTCAGCACTTTGGGAGGACGAGGTGGGAGGATTGCTTCAGTCCAGGAGTTTGAGAACAGCCTGCCTGGGTGGTAATATATAAGTGAGACCTTGCATATTGGAAAAAAAAAATAGATGATTCTAAACAAGAGCAAAACAGCCTCCTTTTTTGTGGCTGCATACTATTTCACTGTAGGGAATTACATTGTGACTGATTTAATTGGTCCCACTTCTGGGCATCTTCGTGGTTTTCAATCTTTTGGAACATGCTGCATTTAAGAATCTCGAACTTCTATCATTTGGCTCATGGATCGGCATGTCTTTAAGATAAAATCCTAAAAGTGGAATTTCTGGGTCTAAGGATGTATATATATATATATATATATATTTGAGACAGGGTCTCACTCTGTTACCCAGGCTGGAGTGCAGTGGAACAATTATATAGCTCACTGCAGCCTTGATCTCCTCGGCTCAAGAGACCCTCCCACCTCAGCTTCCTGAGTAGCTGTGACCACAGGCACACCACTAAGCCTGGCTTTTTTTTTTTTTTTTTTTGAGACGGAGTTTCGCTCTTGTTACCCAGGCTGGAGTGCAATGGTGCCATCTCGGCTCACTGCAACCTCCACCTCCTGGGTTCAGGCAATTCTCCTGCCTCAGCCTCCTGAGTAGCTGGGATTACAGGCATGTGCCACCACGTCCAGCTAATTTTTTGTATTTTTAGTAGAGACGGGGTTTCACCATGTTGACCAGGATGGTCTCGATCTCTTGACCTCATGATCCACCTGCCTCGGCCTCCCAAAGTGCTGGGATTACAGGCTTGAGCCACCGCGCCTGGCCCTTTTTTTTTGGGTAGAGACAGGGTCTTGCTATGTTGCCCAAGCTGGTATTGAACTTCTGAGCTTAAGAAATCAGCCCACCTCTGTCTCTCAAAGAGCTGGATTACAGGTGTGAGTCACCACACCTGGCCCAAACACTTTGATTTTGCCCATTTTATGGGTAATAAGTGATATCTCAGTGTTTTTGTTTTGGTTTGGTTTGGTTTTTTTGAGACAGAGTTTTGCTCTTGTTGCCAGGCTGGAGTGCAGTCTCTCCATCTTGGCTCAGTGCAACCTCCTCCTCCCGGATTCAAGCAATTCTCCTGCCTCAGCCTCCTGAAGCATGCGCCACCACACCTGACTGATTTTTTGTATTTTTAGTAGAGACAGGGTTTCGCCATGTTGACCAGGCTGAGCTCAAACTCCTGACCTCAACTGATCCACACGCCTCCGCCTCCCAACGTGCTGGGATTACAGGCATGAGCCACTGCGCCCGGCCCCTCTCTCTTGACTTTACATTTCTCTTACTTTTTTTTTTTTTTTTTTTTTTTTTTAAAGAGACTGCTTCTCATTATGTTGCCCAGGCTGGCTTCACTCAAGCAATCCTCTTGCCGCAGCCTCTAGAGTAGCTGGGATTACACGCGCCACGCTCGGTTCCATTTCCCTTATTTAAAAAAAAAAAAAATTGCAGTGAAGTACACATAACGAAATGTACCATCTTGACCATTTTTAAGGGTAAGGCTAGGTGTGTTAGATATGCTCGCTTTATTGTGTAACCAGATTTCTCTTTTAAATAACAGCACTTACTTAGAGATGCCGACTTCGTGCCAGGCCCAGTTTGGGACACTAGGGACTCCCAGATGAATCAGCCACTCCAGTGAAACTCCCAGCTGGTGGGGGAGGCACTGGTGAAACGGTGCGGGCAGAGCGAAGTCCTGACGGCGCTGGAGCTGAGGGGCAGAGCGGGATGCCCCAGGAAGGCTCCTAGGAAGAGGGGACCCAGGGTGACCCCTTGAGGAAGCACGGCTCCCAGGTAGAGGAGTGCATGTGAGCCAAGATCCTAGGCCTGAGCCGTCTAGCTGTGTCCCGGGAACTGCAGGAAACGGTTGGGTGAGTCAGTGGTGGGCAGTGGGGGTGATGAGCCCTTTCGTGTTCTCGGGATGGTAAGTTTGGGACACAGGAGAGTGAAGATCGCAGGCCAGGGGTGGACTGACAGCCCATGGCAGGCGCAGGGCAGGTTCGGCCTGGGGCTGGCAGGGTTTGGGTGAGAAATGGCAGCCCATGGGGAATTGCCACAGCAGGGCTCTAGGGCCTTCAGAGCCAAGCCCCGACACTCCTCCCCATCTACGGTGCAAAACTGGAGAAGGCAGAGGACAGGGTGAGGGAGGTTGGTTCCCAAAGGAGATGCCATCCCCGTTAAGGGGACACAGGCCCCTGGAAGTTGGGTTGGGCCACAAGGAGAGAGGCCTGAACCGCCAAAGGGAGGAGGCGTGGGCAAGCCGCAGCCTCAGACCTCTGCCTCCTCCCTCAGACCGTGAGGCTCCCCAGCCCCGCTCGGGGGACCTCGACATCGCTGGCCTGGATCAGACCTACTGCCCCTCTCCGCCCCTGGGTCCCTACGGACCTGGAGACGGGCAGACGGAGGCCCTAGCTCCCTGCAGGGGAGGGGAGTGAAGACGCGCGGGGGTGGGAGGGGGGAAGATGAGCCGGCGTCGCCATGGCAACAAGACCGGTGGTCCGGCCCTGGGGACCCGGGAGGGAGGGAGGTAGGGAAGGAGGGAAGGAGGCGCCGTAGCCGCGCGCGCGGGCGGGAGCGGAGGCCCGGGTCTCCCAGGAGGAGTTGGGGAACACCTGGCGATTCTGCCGGCCGCTTCCCGGTGGCGCAGGGATCCCGCGTGTTTGCGGGTGCGTGTGCGTGCGAAGTTCTCCGGTGAGTGTGCCAGCGCGCCCCTGGGGGGTGTGCAAGCGTGTGAGCGTGCACACGTGGGCACGGGAGTGTGCGCGCGGGGGTGCCCGGCTGGATGTGTACACTCGAGTGTGTGCCGGCCCGCGTGCCCCTGCGTGAGTGTGCGCGCGCGAGCACACGTGTGTGTGTGTGCCCTCGCGTGCGCTACCGAGTGGGCCCTGGGTGGGAGCCTGAGATCCCGCCCCCTCCCCAGCCCCGGCGCCCCTCCCTGCCCCCCGCCGGCGGTGCCGGCTGCATCCTCGCCTCCACCTCGCTCACCCCCTCCTCCCCTCACTTTCTCGGCTCTCCTTCCCTGTCGGCTCACACCGCCGGACTCCGCGCTCTCCTCGCCCGCCGCCCTGGGGATCGCCGACCGCCGCCGCCCAGCCTGCGCCCGCCGTTCCTCCAGTGCCTGGGCACCTGTTGGAGGCAGAGACAGGTGCAGGGGGCTGGGCAGACCGGGGGCGTGAAGGTGCGGGGGAGCGTGCCAGCCTGTGTGCGCTACGGGGGAGCCTGAGGTGGCATCTTAGGCTGGGGTCTCCACCGTGGGCTGCGGTGAGCGCGCGGGGGAACCAGGCAGGCAGACAGGTCCTGGGGCTGAATGAAGGGACAGTGGGAAATGGGAGCTTAGAGGGGTGGGTGATACCCTGACCAGACCAGCGCCTGCTGCAGAGGAGGACAGAGCCTCCGAGAAACAGAGGCGGGGCCCTGCAGGGCCCCTTGAGGAACCGGCAGGCTTAGGAGCAGATGGGAGCCCGGGAGGAGAGGAAGGAGCTGGCAAGATGATACAGGAACAACCTAGAGGTGGCTGGGTGAGGACGGGGTGGTGCAGCCTCGATCTCTGAGGGGAGTGGGTTGGCAGCCCAGCCCCCGTGGAGCTGGCCTGGGGTCTGCAGGGCCCAGGCCTCCGGCCTGCCACCAGCTGGCACAGGCCACCCTCTCCCTCGACCTAGGAAGGGAGGCCAGTGAGGGCCCTGCAGACCCAGAAGGCTGTTGCCTGGCTCTCAGCCAGGACGGTGAGGTATGAGGAGTTGGCCCTGGGCTCACCCGCTCACACGGCCTCCCCCAGCCAGGGGTGCTGCATGAGGGGCCGCAGGGGCGACCGCATGACCATCAACATCCAGGAGCACATGGCCATCAACGTGTGCCCCGGGCCCATCCGGCCCATCCGCCAGATCTCTGACTACTTCCCCCGCCGGGGACCAGGACCTGAAGGGGGCGGCGGGGGCGGTGGGGAGGCCCCCACCCATCTGGCCCCCCTGGCTCTGGCCCCCCCTGCAGCCCTCCTTGGGGCCAACACGCCTGAGGATGGTGCAGAGGTGGACGGCTATGACTCGGATGATGGCAGTGAGTCTGGGGGCTTGGAGGCCCCACATGCTGGTGGGGGTCTCCAGGCTTGCTGTGGGGGGTGGGGAGGATGAGCCCTGCTGGGTGTGCATGTAGGGGAGGAGGGCAGTGGGGTGGGGGGCGGTGGCGGGGACGGCCGACACAGCTGCAGTCGGTGTGGAGATTACAGCTTCAGCAAGGCTCAATATTCAATATTTCTGCTGAGACACTCCACCACCCACACAGCCCCAGTTGCGGCTGAGCCAGGGACCCAGACACACACACGCACGGGCCCACTCAGCCTCTTGCACACACACTCACAGGTGGGCAGAGAGGGAGACATACGCAGCCAGTGTCCGCCTGCCGGCCTCTTGCACACACCTGTATCCAAACAAACCCACGCTGCCTTTCCTCTCTCTCCAGCCGCCCTGGGCACGCTGGAGTTTGACCTTCTCTATGACCGGGCCTCTTGCACTCTGCACTGTAGCATCCTCAGGGCCAAGGTGGGCACTCCCTGCCTCCCAAGCCCACGTGCGGCCCCCAGAGGGATGGGTTTCCATCCCTCCCTTCCCAGGCCTGCTCCTTCCTCTCACCCCTGCACCCTCCTTCTGGGCCTCGCTCTACAAGAAGGAGGGAGAGAGATGCCGGGAGCCTCCAGCCCTCTCCCCTCCCCTCTGCTCCAGGGCCTCAAGCCCATGGATTTCAATGGCCTCGCAGACCCCTATGTCAAGCTGCACCTGCTGCCTGGAGCCTGTAAGGTAATAGCTTCCTCTCCCTCCCAGCCCGCTGCCCATGCCTTCAGCTGCCGTGTTGCTGGAGGACAGGTATTGAGAACGTTTTATCCCCACACCCCAGGCCAATAAGCTAAAAACGAAGACTCAGAGGAACACGCTGAATCCTGTGTGGAATGAGGACCTGACGTACAGTGGGATCACGGATGAGGACATCACACACAAGGTTCTCAGGTGAGGGCCCCCCCTCCCTGACACCCAGGATCCAGGTCCAGCAGCAGCTCGGGGACAGCTGTCATTGTAGCCGATGATTGATCTATATCCCATTAAGCCCCTATCTCTCTGATGCTCAAGAATCATCAGTGGCTCCCTATCCCCTTTGGCAGCAGGCCAAAATATTTCCCTGCCATTCCTGCCCTCCAAATATCTCCTGCAGGCAGGGCATAGTGGCCCACACCTGTAATCACAGCACTTTGGGAGGCTGAGGTGGGCCAATCACTTGAAGTCAGGAGTTGAGACTTCCCTGGCCAACATGGTGAAACTCCGTCTCTACTAAAAATACAAAAGTTAGCTGGGCAGGTGGCATTTGTCTGTAATCCCAGCTACTTGGGAGGCTGAGGCAGGAGGACTGCTTGAACCCAGGAAGTGGAGGTTGCAGTAACCAGAGATACCACTGCACTTCAGCCTGGGTGACAAGAGTGAGACTCTCTCAAAAACAAAACTAAACAAAAACGAGTATTTCCTACCTCTCAGAGGACTCCCTTCCAACTGGCCAGTTTCACAACTCCTGCTTTTCCTGTTCTGTTTTTTTATCTGGAAAGCTCCTCCTGGCTAGCCTAAATTCCACTCACCTGGGGCTCAGTCCAAGCTCTGGCCACTCCTGAGAGTGTTACTGGGTCTCTGGGACCCCTTCTCAGAACCCTGCAGCTTTGGTCTGCCCCTTCTGTGCCCTGAGTTCCCTTAAAATCTCTAAGGAGTGAAGTCTTCAGGGACAGGGAAGTTACTCCATCATCCCAGGAGATGGAGATGTGGGGAGAGTATTCCCTCAAGTGAGGCGGTGGGCAGCGAAACCCAGGCTCCAGAGAGACCTCTGCTTTTGTGCTTGGATTTGCAGCCGGGACCCTTCCCTGATGGTCAGGGCTGTGTGGCAGAGAGGCCACCTTGGTGTCGGGTATGCGGGTGGAATGGAGGGGAGGCCAGAGGCCGAAACCAGAATGAACCTCAAAATGACTGAGCACTCCCCAGTGCCCAGCCTGGACAAAGCATTTTCATCTTTCTTTCTTTCCCTTGATTCTCTCCATTTTACAAATGGGAATTGAGGCATAGGGAGATTAAATGACTTGCCCCAGGTCACACAGGTGGCTCAGAAGTGGCAGGGCTGGGATCTGCCTGCCCTCCAAGCCACAGATGGCCGACGTGGCAGTGGGTCACAGCAGAGGCAGAGCAGGCACTGCGGGAGGATGGGTGGCCGGAGAACAGTCATTTCTTAGTCGCTGGACTCATGAATCCCTGCCGGGCTGGCTCTGTGCTGCATGCAGGAAAAGGATGGGGGTCCTAAGGAGGCATGGGATCCTCGTCTGGCTGCTCAAAGCTCCAAGGTCCTTCTAGCTCTCATGGCCTCCGTCTGTGGCCACATCTACCTTGGTGTTTGGCTTCTGCCCCCAGGCCCTGAATGGAGGCAGTAAGCGGTGCTCCAAGATTTCGGAGGGCTTCCTGAAGAGGCTGAGCAGCTCCTGAGGGACCAGGGACAGCTGGGTGGCTGCTGAGGGAGGGACAGAGGACCAGGCAAATCTGCTTGTCCTTCTCAAGTGCCAGCCCGTCTTCCAGATGAGACGGAGTGTTTAGGGCAGAGCTGTGCTGGTCTGAGGACTTTCCTCCAGGCCGGAACGGGGCTCAGATACCCCCAGGACCCTGACACTGCCGTTCCCCACCAGGATTGCCGTGTGTGATGAGGACAAGCTTAGCCACAATGAGTTTATTGGGGAGATCCGCGTGCCACTCCGCCGCCTCAAGCCTTGCCAGAAGAAGCATTTTAACATCTGCCTCGAGCGCCAGGTCCCGGTCTGTGTGGGGGGCTGAGGGGTGCCAGAGGAGGGGGCCCTGCAGGAGTGCCGGAGGGGAGGCCAGGGTTCCAGAACCTTCTCTTTGCCCCCTCAGCTGGCATCCCCCTCTTCCATGTCGGCAGCGCTGAGGGGCATCTCCTGTTATCTGAAGGAGGTAAGGCACCTCACAGGGACAGGGATGCATGTGGGTGGGAGGCAGTGGGGGCCCAGGCTGACCCTGCACCTGTGCCCCACAGCTGGAGCAGGCAGAGCAGGGGCCGGGGCTGCTGGAGGAGCGTGGCCGCATCCTGCTGAGTCTCAGCTACAACTCGAGGCGCCGGGGACTGCTGGTAGGCATCTTGCGCTGCGCCCACCTGGCTGCCATGGACGTCAACGGTTACTCGGACCCCTACGTCAAGACGTGAGCCCTTGCGCTGAGCCTCTCCTCCCCAGGGAGCCTGCCCCTGCCTGAATCGGGCATGGCCTGTCCCTGACGCCTCGGTTCCTTTCCCTCCAACACACCCCCAGGTACCTGAGGCCTGACGTGGACAAGAAATCCAAGCATAAGACGTGTGTGAAGAAGAAGACTCTCAACCCAGAATTTAATGAGGTACCCGGGTGGGACTAGACGCAGAGGCAGGCCAGGGAGGGGCTGGGGGGCTGAGGAGTCAGCTCACGAACGGGCGGCTGGCTTTGTCCCCAGGAGTTTTTCTATGAGATAGAGCTCTCCACTCTGGCCACCAAGACCCTGGAAGTCACCGTCTGGGACTATGACATTGGCAAATCCAATGACTTCATCGGTGAGGGATGAGCTGGCTGTGGGTGCCAGGGGAGGGTGAGTGCCAGGGAGGTGGCCCTGACTCTACCACTTGCTCCCCCAGGTGGCGTGTCCCTCGGGCCAGGTGCCCGAGGTGAGGCCCGTAAGCACTGGAGTGACTGCCTGCAGCAGCCAGACGCAGCCCTGGAGCGCTGGCACACCCTGACCAGCGAGCTGCCCCCTGCGGCCGGCGCTCTGTCCTTAGCCTGAGTGGATAGCAGTGCCCTGCATAGGCCCATCGGGCTGGGCCCAGTACCCAACCTTCGCACGAGTGTGTTGCACGTTTACACGGGGTGGGCTGCCCCCACCCTGCACTACCTGTCTTATTTTTGTGAGTCTCAGTGACCCGGGTCTGTCTGCTCGTGAGGGGCTGTGGAGTTCTATATTCACATATGCAAACCTCCTGCCTGACTCGCTAGTCCCTGCAAATATGCAAACACCCCATCCTCTCTGCATACCTGGGCAGTGCTCAGAGCCCGGCCCCAGGCCCTTGAGCTCCTCACTCCGGCCTCTCCACGCTGCCCCGTCCCTCTCCCCCCACAGGGAGGAGGTCGGATTAGGGGAGGTTCAGAGAAGGAGAATGTCTCAAAAAAAGAAAAAAAAATAGAAAGAAAGAACAGGACAAAAAAAACAGTGACCCAGAGCCACTCCTTTAATACAGAAACTTCATTAAAAAACCTAGCCCCGTACAGGTAGCTGCCCTTTTCAAGGGGTGGCGATCGCAGGGTCTCTGCCTCTCCAGCAGGTGGCAGATGCTCCCAGCCACTTGTTTAACTGTCCCCTAGATGGGGCCAGGGTTTGAAGGCAGGGCCCCTGCCACCCTCCTGGGGGACACCCGTGCATGTTTATGCCTTTTCTGGTTGTGTCAGTAGCCGGAGCATGGCAGCTGGGTATCAATAAACACCTCCGGGAAGCTGGGCTCGTGTGTGCTGCACAGGGAGGCGCTGGGTGGGGCTGCGGTGGGCGTGGCGCAACGTTGCAGTCACTCCGGGATGTCGATCACCAGGTCATCATCCCCATCTAGGGCATCGTCCCCACTACCTGCGTCGCTGAACATCTGCCGAGGGACTGTGCTCAGGATCGTGGGGGGGGGCATCTTGGGGGGCGGGAGGGGGGTCAGGGCTGTCCCGACCCCGGCCCCAGAACCCCGGCCAGGGAAGGTCAGCGGCCCTCCCACAGGGCAGTCAGGGGGTCCCACCGCCATCTGCAGCAGGGGGAAGAAACACAGGGGGGCTAGTCAGGGAGGCACTAGGGCCTCAGGGGACCGGGCCCTGCCCCCCAGGGCAGCTCTGGGGAGAGGGAAGGGGCCCTGGGCACAGCCGGGCCAGCCAATGCTGCACTCAGGGCCTGCCCACCCTCAGCCCCTCGTGAGTCTCAAAGCAGCAAGTGCCTGGGGGTGGTGATGGACGTGAGATGAGGGGATGGGGGTGTCTCACAGGAAACCGGGAGGGAAAGGCCCGGCCCTGCCCTCTCTAGGGAGGCGCCTGGGCTGCCCTGAGGCAAGTTAAGCCAGAGGCGGAGTCGGCCTGGAGTGCCTGCCTGCCTGCTGCTGGGTCCCGAAGGTGCCACCTAGTGCCACCGGCTTCCTCTCCCTCCTCCTCCTCTTCTGCAGGACTCACTGGTTCAGTGGAGGTTATCACAGGCTGCCTAAGCCTGGAGCCCTGGCGGCTTCTCTGCCCGTTATGTCTTGGATGGGCCCCTCCTCGGGATCCCCGCAGCCATGGCCTAGGCCCAGCCCTCCTCTCGGCTCACCTGGGCTGCGGTCCCAGCCTCCTAACTGGACTCCCTGCCTGCAGCCTCTCCCAGATCCAGCTCCTCCGCACTGCAGCCAGAGCGCGTGCTCTAAAACACAGACCTGAGCGCGTCACTGCACCACTCAGGGCCTTGGGACGGGAGTGCCGCCTGCCAGATGACAGGTGGCCCCTCCACCTGGGCATCCTGCTCTATTTGTCATAAGTCCTTTGTCCTCTGAGGCTGGGATGTGACCTGTCCAACTCTCCAATCCCCCACTGCCAGGTTCTCACAGACCCTCCCCAGAGAGCTCTATGGGTCTCCTCTGCAGTCCCCATGCTTTGTCTGTGGGCACAAACTGGGCATCTGCTGTGTGTCAGGTGGTTTCTGTTAATGCCTTCCTAGCCTCAGGATGCTGGGGAGCGGCAAGAGGTCAGGTGCCAGCAGAGGAGGCTGAGCCTGGCGTGGAGACGGAGGTGCTGAAGCACAGTCCTGCTGAGTCCTGAGGGGCAGTTTCCAGTCTGGCCCTGGGCTAGGTGCTGGGTGGGCTGGCAGGAAATGCCATGCGTGGTCTCCAGTGGCCCTTCTGAGTGTCACATTTGGCCCTGTGGCCTCTTCTTTGCTTCCTAAGGAGTCCCCACCCTCACCTCTGTTCCTGGGTTGGCATGAGAGCCAGGGTGGGTCAGGCCTCAAGATACAGGAGGCTGGCAGGATGGACAACAGATGGGGCCCAGCTCTGAGCAGCACTGCCTCGCCCTGTCCCAGGCCCCCTCATGTACACACAGGAGCAGGCGTGCGTGCTTGACTGGAAAGGCTGCTTTCCTCTGCCCACCACCTCTCCTTCCCCTCCTCTGCCCACCACCTCTCCTTCCCCTCCTCTGCCCACCACCTCTCCTTCCCCTCCTCTGCCCACCACCTCTCCTTCCCCTCCTCTGCCCACCACCTCTCCTTCCCCTCCTCTGCCCACCACCTCTCCTTCCCCGCTGTGCACAGCACATCCCACCCTGGCCTGGACTTCCTCAGTGGCACCCTCAGCCTGACTGGCAGCAGCTCACCATTCTCTGTGGCTTACTGAGGGCCAGGCATGGGGCCAGTGCTTTTCATCCCTTCACTCACTTTCTCTGCAAAATGACGCTAGTGAACAGAGAAGAAAGCTGTGGCTCCAGGCGTGAAATGACACGCCGAGGTTGCACGGTGAGTACTGGAAGAGCTGGGACTGAAACCCGGCCAAGTCCGACTTAGGCCTGACAGAACCAAGCTGCCTCTGTCTTCAACAGCTGTCCCTCTTCTGCTTTAACTCCCTTCCTTCCATCTCCTCACAACGAGTCCCCCAGATCCTTCAGGGACCCCCACTCCCCTAATAGTCACAGGCAAACTCCCATTTCAGACGGGCGTCTAGGCCTTCCACGACCCCACCCCACCCGGTTCATCTGCTAATGTCATGTCTCTTACCACTCCTGCTCAGGCCCAGGCTGCACTTTCACTGTGCCCATCTCCCTTCCCACCATGGCCTCAGCCAGGAATATCCGAATCCACTCACCCGGGGCTCACACGTTCTCCTCACTGAGGCCTTTCCTGGCTTCTCCCTGCCTCCCTGCACAGCCATGGACCTAAAGTGCCCTCCCAAACCTTCTCTCCAGAACGTCCAGAACTTTGCTCTAGGACAACACTCCACTTTAGGTCTCAACGCCCAGCCAGAAAGCCTTAAAGTGCCCCCGTATGCCACGCCAACCTCACCCTGCCTGCCACCCCCCTGCTAAGAATCAGGACCAGTACTGTCACCTCTGCTTCTCAGGCTCAAGAGGTGAAGTCCCACAGGGCCAAGGTCACACAGAGAAAAGGGTAGAGTTGGGATTCGAGCTCCAGATCCTGCACTCCAGACCACCGCAAATGCGGCCTCTAATTCTGCTTCTGGCTCCAGGAACCCCGAGAGCTGTCCAGCTGGTCCCCACTCAGCTCGGCCCCTCAGCCCATGCCCCATCTCTAAGGCTTGCATCTACTGCCAGCCTGGCGGCTTCCAAACGCGCAGCCCCTCACAGGCCGCTGTCTAGCTGCCTTCCAGATGGCACCTGATGCGTCTGCGGCCAGACTCAGCTTCCCTCCAAGCCTGTGCTCCCACAGCCCTCCCATTTTGAGGGAGGGCGACTCCACTCGCACTCGGGCCGCAGCCCTGCAGGCACCCTGGCCTCTCTCCCGCACAGCCCACACCAGGTCCCTCCAGGAACTCCCGAGGCTCATTCTCTGAAATGGGTCTGCAGCCCGCTCTGGACCCTCTGCCTGGTTTACTGAGGCTGCCTCCTCACTCCCATCCTGACGAACCCCACCGCTCACCCAGTCTGTTCTATGACCACTGGTGCCTGGAATTTAGTTAAGAGGCAATGAGATCAGACTCCCCTCCATGCCTGCATCCTGCGCCCTGCCGGGGAACTGCCCTCTCCAAGGCTTCACTCACAGCGAAGCCTGCTCAGTGGCACCTCAGGAGTTCCCGCCTCTGACCTGCTCTAGGACCCACGTCCCTGCTGACTTTCCTCCCTAACACAGACTCCTTCCAGATCCTGCAACAAGCCCAGCTCACACCCTCTCAGAGTCTCGGCCCGACCGAAACACGGCCCAGGAGCGACACGGCTTGCTGTCATTTCCTGTGTCTCTGATCAAAGAACAACCCAGACTACCGAGCCAAAAGTGTCAGCTTTGTCCCCAGGGGTCCCCGTGCTTTGTACTTCACTCCGTTCTTCTCCACAGGTACCTATTTTTCCGGTATGTTTTCTGCCTATCTTGCTAGAATGTGAGCTCCATACGGGCAGGGACTGGTCGGCTTTGTTCACTGCCACCATCTGCCACAGCTGGGACAGTGCCTGGCCCATGGGAGGCACTCCAGGGGCGCTTGCTGATCACATCAAGTGGGACCACTCGCCAAGTCTAGGAGGCCTAGTGGGTAGCAGAGACCTGCTCAAGGCCACGTGGTTTCTAACGGGCAGTCTTGACTTGACGCTAGAGCCCATAATCCTGCCACCTGGGGCGGCCGGGCATCACAGAACATGCCCACCTGGGAAAATGAGCCTGGCCCCGCTACGCTGCAGCCGTGAAAGGGCAGATCCCCAGCATCAACATGCGGGGTTCCCCGAGGCTGGTTCTGCCCTGATTTGTCTCCACACGGGCCTGTGAGCTGGGACTCCTCTGGTTCACCCCTCAGTGCAGAGCAATGGCTGGATCCCCTGCAGCCCCAAATCAACCGTTCAGGGTTCTCTGACAGGCCCCCGCCTTGAGCCTCCCTCAGGTGGCTGTCCTCCTGCCGTCCTGCCCCTCCCTAACGCCCCCACGTCAGGGTACCTTGAGTTTCCGGGGCAGGCGGGGCCGTTTCTCCCGCTTGGGCCTCAGGGGGCTGGGCTCGGGCAGCTGCAGGGCCAGGTAGTCAGAAGGGAATGGGGGGTAGCGGGGGGAGGCCAGCTGTGGGCGGGAGTAGGGATGGAGATGGGAGGCGGAGTGGACAGGGTGAGGGTGGGGGGAAGAAATGCAAACAAAAGGAGGATGGAAAAACAAAAGAGATGGTGATGAGTGCGGCTCCTGGGGCTCCCGAGCACAGAAGCGGGGCAGCAGCAGGACGACGTCCTGGGCTCTGCTCTCCTCTGTCACGCCTGGCCCCGTTCCTACACCAGAGAGAAGGGGGCAGCCCCAACTCACACCCTCCACGGGACACTTGCTGGCCACACGCAGACAGATGTCCCCAGAGTTGGGCTGGCCTTGCCCCGAGGCCCAGCCCTTCTGCCCAAATGACGCCACCTTACTCCCAGGCATTTTAGTTCGACAATTCCCACCCCTGACCCCAACTCACCGAGCTCAGGTATGGGGAGGGGACCCCGGAGGCCTGAAGGGGAAACCCTGTTGAAGGAGGCAGGGAGAGGCTGGAGGGAGAGGGGGCCCCCCCCAGCGGAGGGCTTCTCTTCCTGGAGAAAGGACAGGAGGGGTCAGAGGTGGCTAGGAGCCCAGGCAGTCCGCCTGACCCTCCCCAGCGAGAGGAATGCATCTTTTTCTCACCTCTTAGGGGCTGGAGTGTCAGACAACTTGGGTGTCCCCTCTGTCTCACTATTATCTGATGATGCAGTGGCATCTGAGTCTGTGACAGGAACAGCAGGTCAGTAGGGGTGGGGGAATCCCAGTCCATCCCAGAAGGGTATAACCTCTTCTACACTACAGAAGGGCGCCAGAGGACCAAGCATGGGGCTCACGCCTGGAATCCCAGCACTGTGAGAGGCCAAGGTGGGCAGACTGCTTGAGGCCAGGAGTTCAAGAGGAGCCTGGACAACCTAGCGAGACCTCATCTCTACTAAAAACAAAAACAATTACATAAGCATGGTGGTGTGTGCCTGTAGTCCCAGCTACTCAATAGGCTGAAGCAGAATTGCTTGGAGATCGAGGCTGCAGTGAGCCGTGACCATAATACTGTATACCAGCTTGGGAGACAGAGCAAGACCCTGTCTCAAAAAAACCAAACAAACCAAAACCCCAACCCAAGGGCCCCTGGGGGAATCTGACTCACCAGCTTGCGGGCACACCCATGCACACACACACCAATGCCGTCCCAGGGAGGTCCACAGCCTCACCAGCCTCCTCAGCCTCCCTCCTGCTCTGATTCTTTCATAACACACCTGCTATGCATGGCCAGGGTTCCAGCCTCCTTCCCACTTACCACCCTGTCATCAGACCATCCAAGGAGAATGGAAAGGGCAGTCAGTACCTCCACTTGTCACATGAGGTCACCAAGGCTCAGAAGGTAAGGTGTGATGCTGCAACTCCAACCCAGGTCTGTGACTCCTTGGCTATTTGATGCCACTCATTCCTTGCCACTGAGCAGAGCCGTCTTCAGCACCTGCCTCAGCTCCTCTCCACAACCAGGGCCTGTTCACCCACCCCTCATCCTCCCCTTCATCTATCACTCCTCACGCCAACTGCCACAGGTCAGGTCACCAGCATGTCAAAATCACCTCACCCTGCTACCCACAGTCCAACTCCAAAGCTCCAACTCCAGAGTAACCGAAAACCGACCTGGTCACATCCTTCTTGATGATATGCCCTACTAACTGGATGAATTCTTAGTGCTGCTTAATCTGGCTTCAACATATCTTTCTGGTCAACTAACATAACTGTACTCTTCTCACCACAACCTCCACCTCCCGGGTTCAAGTGATTCTCCTGCCTCAGCCTCCCAAGTAGCTGGGACTGCAGGCACTCACCACCATGCCCAGCTAATTTTTCTATTTTTAGTAGAGACGGGGTTTCACCATATTGGCCAAGTTGGTCTTGAACTCCTGACCTCATGATCCACCTGCCTCCACCTCCTAAAGTGCTGGGATTACAGGTGTGAGCCACCACACCTGGCCCATAACTGTATTCTTTACAGCACACTGACCTATTTCCTTAAAAAAGAAACGTATTTCCTAGTTCAGTGCCTCTGCCTAGAAGGGCCATCTTTCACTGAACAAACGACTGCTACACACAGAAGCTGTTGCCAATGCCTCTGCTCAGATAGACCCTTTAAGGAGCAGATTAAATGCCACCTCCTCTTAGAAGTCTTCTAGAATCCCTCAAGCCCAATTAACTGCAGGCTTTCCCAGAACCCTGTGCTCTTACTTGTCATGGCTATCCCCACACTGTGCTGAAGAGCATCGTTTGTGTCTCCCTGACCAGGCTGTGAACCTTCATGACAGGAATGGGGCCCACATCGCTGGTTCTTCCTTCTCAGATGCCACCCACTCTGGCCATGAACATGCTGGGTTCTCTCCTACGAGGCAGAAGCCCTGAAATCCCCTCAAATAGGACGTTACCTGGAAGCCCTTAGGGAAGGGAGAGGCAGGGGATGAGAGGCTACAGTAAGAGCCAAACCTCCTACTATCATCTATCTGAGTGGGCCCTTGACTATTTTCCTAACCTCATCTTCAGTACTCCCAGAGCAAGCAAATGGGTGTCATGTGTTCCAACAAAACAATTATGTCCCAAAACTTGGCTGGCTGATACATGCCAATCCCTGCCTCAGACCAAGGTTTAAAGGCACTGTGGAGAGGTGATTCTATGTGACGTGGCCTATGAGGGTCCCACCCAGGAATAGGCCCACAAATACCCAGCTCAGGGCTTTTTCAAACTGTGGGTCTCAATCCATTAGTGGAGGTCATGAAATCAATGTATTGGTTTGCAACTAGCATTAAAAGAAGGGGGGGGAAAACAGTCTAAAAAGTATCCGGTTCGAGTGAAGTCTTCTTAAGGCAAAAAAAAAAAGTATCTAGATGAACTGGTACAGTGATCTTAAAAACATTTTGGCTGGGTGCGGTGGCTCATGCCTGTAATCATTAGCACTGTGGGAGGCTGAGACAGGTGGATCAAAAGGTCAGGAGTTTGAAACCAGCCTGGCCAACATGGTGAAACCCCATCTCTACTAAAAATACAAAAATCAGCTAGGCATGCTGGCAGGCACCTATAATCCCAGCTACTTGGGAGGCTGAGGCAGGAGAACTGCTTGAACCCAGGAGGAAGAGGTTGCAGTGAGCCAAGATCATGCCACTGCACTGCAGCCTGGGCGACAAGAGCGAGACTGCATCTCAAAAAAAAAAAAAAAAAAAAGCCGGGCGCGGTGGCTCAAGCCTGTAATCCCAGCACTTTGGGAGGCCGAGGCGGGTGGATCACGAGGTCGAGAGATCGAGACCATCCTGGTCAACATGGTGAAACCCCGTCTCTACTAAAAATACAAAAAATTAGCTGGGCGTGGTGGCGCATGCCTGTAATCCCAGCTACTCAGGAGGCTGAGGCAGGAGAATTGCCTGAACCCAGGAGGCGGAGGTTGCAGTGAGCCGAGATGTGCCATTGCACTCCAGCCTGGGTAACGAGAGCAAAACTCCGTCTCAAAAAAAAAAAAAAAAAAAAGTTTTGTTAAACTTTGTTTTGTAGCTATGTATACTGAGCCCTGGTCATGATGTAAAATACAGTGAAATGCAGACAATACTCAACTAAAGGGAGGAAAACAGTGCTCTTTTTCATCCCTCTGCTCTTCAACCAAGCCCAGCCCAGGGTACCTGAATGTGTTATTCCTCCAGGACAGCTCTAGCTTACTTCTTCACAAGGTTGGTTTGTTTTTTTTGAAACTGTCTTTCCCTGTCTCCCAGGCCGGAGCACACTGGCACAATCATGGCTCACTGCTGCCTCAACCTTTCAGACAAGGGATCCTCCTGGTTCTGCCTCCCAAGTAGCTGAGACCACATGTGTGCACCACTATGTACAGCTAATTTTTTAAAATTTATTTTTAATTTTAATTTTTATTTTTTTGAGACGGAGTTTCACCCTTGTTACCCAGGCTGGAGTGCAATGGCGCGATCTCGGCTCACCGCAACCTCCGCCTCCTGGGTTCAAGCAATTCTGCCTCAGCCTCCTTACGGCTAATTTTTTTTTTTAATTGACATGGGGGTCTCACTAGGTTGCCCAGGCTGTAAGGCTGGTTTCTTAATCTGGTCCCAACTCAAGAAAGGCCTTTCTTGAGTACTCTATTCAGACGGTGCCTGCTGTCTGCTTGTGTAGTCTGCAAGCTAAGAATGGCTGTTTAACTTTTAAATGGTCGAAAAAAAATTTTTTTTCATGTGAAAATAATACGAAATTCAAATTTCAGTGGCTATAAAATTATATAGAAACACAGCCATACTCATTTATTTGAACATGGGCTATGGCTACTTTATACTACAACAGCACAGTTCAGTGGGTGCTTCAAAAATTGTATGTTGCAGAAAGCTCATTTGCCATCTGGCCCTTTGCAGAAACAGTTGGTTAACCCTTGTTCTACTATAACCACGACCACAGAATTCTGTTATCATTACCTTCTAGTTCTTACTATGACCTAAAATTCTAGTCTATTTCTTCATTTACTTACAACTAGAATATAAATTACAAGAGACCAAGGGCTTTGTCTATCTCTGTCCCTCCAGTATCCCCTGTGCCAAGCACAGTGCCTGAAACATAATAGGTGCTCAGGAGGTTGAAGGCAGGCAACTAGGCTTAAGATCCACTGGAGGCTCCATCAGCCGCCACTGCCTAAAAGATGGGGGCCCAGGAAGCTTGGTAAACGTCAGGAACCATGCCCTCCACCAAGTTTTCAAGAACTCGCTCACCTGAAGAGTCTTCGTCCACGTTCTCATACTGCAGAAGTCGGTCTAGGAGGAAACTGAGGGGAGGGCAGAAGAGGAGAGGTGGGCAGTGATTTCCCAGCGAAGCAATGTCCTCCTGGGCCCCTGTCCCTCCCAGCTGGCCCATGGGATCCCTGAGAGTCCATGCACTTGTGGCCCTACTCGGGGATGGGGTCGGAATGTAGATCGCTAGGAACCACTTCGCCCCCAGCCCCTGCAACGTGCCTTACCTCTTGTCCCGGGACACCTTCAGTAATTTCCTCTGCGCTTTCCTCAGCTCCTCCTGGAAGCACTCGTGCTCCTGCATCACGGGCAAGGGGGGCGCTGGGCCAACGGTCATCGGTGAAGGGCCCCGGAACCCGGCGGCCGCTCGCCCCACCCGCTTTACACCTGAGTAAACCGAGATCTTGTCTACGCCAGGCCTCACCCCCCACAGCCCTCCCGTGGCAACACTCACGTAGATGAGGAACTTGAGCTTCCGCTTCAGATTCCTGTATTTCTTTTTGTAGTCCACTTCGCCGTCCGCCGGCCCGTTCATGACCGGCCGGGAGAGGCAGCCAGCTTCTGCAGTCCCGCTACCCAAACCCTGCGCTGCCCCGCCGCTCACGCCTACACTTCCGGAGACTCTGTAAGGCTGCGCCGCCGGAACTACAACTCCCAGCGTACCCCGCGCCCAGGCGGAGTTACCGCAAGGGCCACCCTCCCCGGGGGTATACTGGGAAAGGAATGCGGCAGCCAGTGGCTGCGCTGGGGATGGCGTCGCAGCGACGCGGTGACGTCACAAAGATGGCGGACGCTGGAAGACGCTGTTCCTTACTCTAATGTGCTTAGATACTTAAAGCCACAAAAAGATTTCCCCCCGAGGTTTCTCGTCTCGTGGCGAGGAGGCTTTTTTTCTTCTGCCCTGTGAAATAACAGCGGCCTAGCTGGTGCCCATGACCAGGAAGGCAGGGAGTGTCGCGGGCTGATTACACCCAAAGGGTGCGGGCGCCGAATCGGTTTCTAACAAGAACTTTTAAAACGATTCGTTACAAGAAAGGGAAGGAGCCGCGAGACCCTCTAACTGCCCAGGGAAAACAAGTCTTGTCCAGCAAAGTTCTTGGCTCAAGCGGTCCGCGGCCGAGGCCCAACGGTCCCTCGCCCCACGGTGCCGCAGCATAGCGCGTGCGCGAGCCGCTGTCAAACGCGCTGACGGAGGCCGAGAAGAAAAAAAGGCGGGAGCCGCCAATCCCGATGGAGCAAAATGGCGCGGGAGAAGGAGATGCAGGAGTTCACCCGTAGCTTCTTCCGAGGCCGGCCGGACCTCAGGTGCTCAGGGGGTTGGAGGTGGGGTTGGAAAGGGGACGCGTGGGACGGGGACTCCGTCTTGACATCCTGTCCCCGCAGCACGCTCACGCACTCCATTGTGCGGCGGAGGTACTTGGCTCACTCGGGCCGCGACCACCTGGAGCCCGAGGAGAAGCAAGCACTGAAGCAGCTGGTGGAAGAGGAGCTGCTGAAGATGCAGGTGTGGGCCGGAGCCTGGGCCGCGGGAGGTGGAGGCGGAGGAGGGGCCTGACGGGGCGCGGTGAGCGGAGCCTTGGTGCATAGTTGGCCCTCTTGGCGCACACACAGGTGGATGAAGCTTCTTCCAGGGAAGTCAAACTGGACCTTACCAAGAAGGGCAAGAGGCCTCCCACCCCTTGTAGCGACCCGGAGAGAAAACGGTTCCGCTTCAATTCAGAGTCGGGTTAGTGCATCCTCCCTGCTATGGGGCCTTCTGCATCCTTGGTGCTTCACTCAAGAAGCATTCACTGCGCATCTGTTATGACCCCAGGCGTTAAATGAGCGAGGCCAATGAGGAACCGGGACGACGAGGACAGATAGCTGTTTCCTGCTGCCCCTCCCTCTGTCAGGGCAGCCCTGGAGACAACCTATGTGAAGAGAGAAGGGACAGGAGGAACCTGTCTCAACTTTCTCTCCTTTCCATATTCCAGAGTCTCGCTCTGAAGCTTCCAGCCCAGACTGCTTTGGACCCCCAGCAAAGAATGGGGTGGCAACAGAAGTCAGCCCAGCCAAGGAGGAGAATTCAAGGCGAGCCTCAAAGAAGGCAGTTGAGGAGAGCAGTGATGAGGAACGGGGGAGAGACATGCCCGGACAGAGGGGAGGAGAGGAAAGCAGTGAGGAGGAGGAGAAGGGAGGCAAGGGGAAGGCTAGGAGGAAACCTGTGGCAAAGCAGCAGGCATCAGGCAAGGCCTCAGTCAGTAGAAAGCAGGCCAGGGAAGAAAGTGAGGATATCGACAAAGAACCTGTTCAGAGGACATCAAAGAAGGTGGAGAGAAATAAAGGAGCTAAAAGCCTGAAGGAAAAAGAACAGAAGAGTGAAGAGGACGAGGAGATCCTAGCCAAGAAGAAAGAGCGTAGAGAGGAGGAAGCAGGGGAGGAAGAGAAAGAAGAGGAGGAGGAAGAGGAGAAAGATTGGAAACCCAGAGCCAGGAGCAATGGCAGGAGGTCAGCTAGGGAGGAGAGGAGCTGTAAGCAGAAAAGTCAGGCAAGGGTGCTCCTGGGAGACTCGGACAGCGAGGAAGAGGAGAAAGAGGCAGCAGGCAGTGGGGATGACAGTGGGCAAGATGAAGAACCCCTAGTGCGGAGGAAGATCAAGGACAGGACCCAGCTTAAGGGTGGGAAGGGGTTGAGTGGAAGCAGCGAGGACGAGGAAGACAGTGGGAAGGGGGGACCCACAGCTAAAGGCACTAGAAAGATGGCCAGACTGGGCAGCACCAGTGGTGAGGAGAGTGACCTGGAGAGGGAGGTGAGTGACAGCGAGGCAGGGGGAGGCCGCCAGGGGGAGAGGAAGAACCGCTCTTCCAAGAAGAGCACCAGGAAAGGCAGGACGAGAAGCTCATCTTCCTCCTCAGATGGAAGTCCAGAGGACGAAGGAGGGAAGGTGAGGGTGTGGAGGGCTGGAAAGCCACCATTAGGGAAGAGGGAGACCCTGCCTCAGGCCCAGCAGGCTTGGCCTTCAGCAGCTGCTGTCTTTCCTTGCCAGGCTGGCTTAGGTCGCCGTGGAGAGGACCACCCGGCTGTGCTGAGGCTGAAGCGCTACATTCGGGCCTGTGGTGCCCATCGCAACTACAAGAAGCTGCTGGGCTCCTGTCGCTCACACAAGGAGCGCCTGAGTGTCCTCCGGGCAGAACTGGAAGCCCTAGGCATGAAGGGTGAGGGCAGGCATGCCTTGGGGGCTGCAGGAGAGGGCCTTCCTGCTGGGCAGGAGAGGATCACCAGCTTCTTCTGCTCCAGGTAACCCTTCCCTAGAGAAGTGTCGAGCCCTGAAGGAACAGCGGGAAGAGGCCGCTGAGGTGGCTGCCTTGGATGTTGCCAACATCATCAGTGGCTCAGGTAAAGGGTTTCTTCTCACTGCCAGGAGCAGATGGGTGAGGCTGGACATTCTAGATATCTGATCTCTCATTTCCCCTTTCCTCTAGGCCGGCCACGCAGACGTACGGCCTGGAACCCTTTAGAAGCAGCCCCTCCAGGGGAGCTCTACCAGCGGACCCTGGACTCAGAAGAAGAACGGCCCCGTCCTGCACCTCCAGACTGGTCACATATGCGTGGCATCATCAGCAGTGATGGCGAGAGTAACTGAGCTCCACCCCTCCCAGGAGGGACCCCTGACACAAATACAAAGCATACATAGTACCCTGTGTCTGCAGAGCAGAAGCAGCTTTCTTCAGAGAAGACTGCAGCCCCCAAGGACATAAGCTGGTTGGATGCTACTTCTCAGCTTCACCCTCTCCATTTAAGGTGTTTATTTTTTAAGACTCAATAAAAGGTGTGTTTATAGTCACCTCATCAAATCTGGTCCCCTATTGTCACCTACTGTATTCTGGGCCAGAAAAATGAGTAGCTACTGCCTCCACCCCCTCCCTTGGCCTGGTTGCCTTTTAATTTCCACCAGGTTCCTGAAGTCCCTGCCTCCCAACCCTGTCATCCAGCAGCCACCAGACTCTTATTGGAGAAGGGTCTGTGACTCCTCTGCTTTTAGCCCAGTCTGATAACCTAATGCCCATTTAGGAGGGGAGTAGAATGACTTGAGGGCAGCTGGTGCTTAAGCCTTCCCCCTTCTTCTGGAAACAGCCACTTTGTCCAGGGGCTGTTAGCCTGGAAGGGTTGGGGAAGAGCCTAGACATCCTGGGCCAGTCCAAGCCCTCCAGGCCTCTTGCTACAGGCCCAGCCTGTGCAGTCATATCAAGTCTCCACTGGACTCTTGGCTGCTGAGGCTTGCGGGAAGATGTGAGCATGGTCTGTGTAGGAGGCAAACCTTCTATGAATCTTTGAAGCCAAAGCAAAGCAAACAGGAATTACAGGTCAAGGGGTTGAAGACCTTTGAGAGCTGAGATCTGGTCACACCTGAAGTCATTAAAATCACTGAAGTGTTTAGATACACAACCCAATACTTTTTTAAACACAAGCAGTACCATTCACCAGCTACTGAGCAGTCCTTCATGCACACCGTAGACAGAAAGGTGAAGTCTTGAAGTCTGTTAGAATAACGAACAGTTTATTAAAAGCTAGCCTGGGGCTCTGTGCCAGCCCCACAGCTGAGAGGGGCTCCCACGACTGCCCCCAGGCCCGGGAGCAGCCCCTTCCAAGGTCCTTCCCTTGTTTCCCCGCCCCAGCCCTGATCCCAATTAAAAAAAAAAAAAAAAAAGATAAAGGACAAGACGGCACAGGACGTCAGACAGCAACAGGGGAATGGGAGACCCAGGCATCCTGACCCCGAGACCCCATCCTGATCCTTCTTGCCAGTAAGGCGGCCTCTCATTCTCCCCGCCTCAGGCCCCAGGCCTGCTCTGCCCTACGGCAGGTCTGAGGGCCCCACTGTGAGGGTAGTATAGTTCTCTGAATATAATATATCTAGACCCACCCTTCCCCTCCCCCAGGGGACTAGATGAATATTTGACACGCACATCTCCCTCCTTTCCCTGGAGGTGGCGGAGGGAGACCCTGGCACCATGGTGGGGAGGCGGGGCTCCTGGGCAGCCTTGGGGCACCTATGCCCAAGCTGGCCCTGGGCCGCTGGCTAGCCCCGAGAAGCTCATGAGATGAGGAGGTCTGAGGGGAGCTGGAGCCAACATCCTGTCCCCTACCCTTGCTTGGGCCTCCAGCACAGTGCCCTCCAGGGTCAGGCTCCACCCACCCCTGCCCTGCCCTGCCCGTTTAGGAGGGGAGTAGAATGACTCCCTGCTCCTCCCCGCTGCACTTCAGGAATAGAAGTGGGAAGAACCATTGAGGATGTGGGAAGCGACACTGGTGCTGCGGCTCAGGGGCCCAGGCACTGCAGCAGCAGGAGGCCCCACGTTCTCACTGCCACTGCCCCCGGAGGCTGCCCGCCGCAGGGGCTGGGGGCTGTTTCTTAGCAGCAGCAGGGCTCCACCGCGGGGTGTCCCGCTCTGTGTGGGGGGCCCCAGCCAGTTTGGGGGGCCTGGGGGAGCTAGTAGAGATGGCTGGCGCCAGGCTGGAGGGGGCATGCCTGGTGGAGGAGGGCCGTGGCTCCAGTGTGCCCCCGAACGGGGAACGGGACGGGAGGGCCAGGCAGGAGCAGGGGGTGGAGCGGGATAGCCCTGGGCAGCAGCCTC